CTGGACCAGACAATCCAGTGATTGACATCATGAGCATCGATCCACGCAATTGGGATCAATGATATGCATCAACCAAGTCAGCGAGCCTGACCACCCAATCCCGTTTAGTCGCCTCTTACAACAGGCATAGTTGCCTTTTACGGCAAGTATAGGTTGCTGAAAACCTATTCTACCCCGGAGCTTCACGAAACAATCATGTAAGAATCAAGATGAATCACAGATTATAATGGGAAATCTGACATTGACCCCACAAACCACTGATGAAAATTACAAAGAATGAGCTTTCAGCGTCATTTGGCACTGAACGTTCTTGCAGGCAGGGGATGATACATCTGCTCTGATTTTATCAATTAATAAACCAATAAATACCGTCAACATGGCTCAAAGAGTTACTATGGCAACAAGGTTGTTAATCAGCCTAGATCCATAAGGTTTTAACCCTAAAATGTCCCATCCTTATGTATCTGGAAGAAAAGGTTTCAACATGTATTTGAATTAGTTCATGCATTGCAAGGCATCATAACAAGAATGTGTACTTCTCACATCATGTCAAGGATAAACAATGGTAGGAGACAAAGATGCTGTATGTTACCCTGGGTAGAAAGCTTGAGTGAAACTTTCGGATATTTACACTTGTGTATTTTAGTGTTTCTCTAAGCTGATTGGACAGTTAGTGCGATATGACATCACATTATTTCGATGGTCGTGACGCGACAAAATGATAATGTCATGTCATGCCTGAAAAAACACACCAAAACCAACAACTTTATGTCATCTGCACAATAAGCGGACTTCAGTATCAAAAGTGTCTTTGTTGAGTTGACATTAAAATACTTTTTTTGTGTGTAATTTTTTCGTTAAAGTGACAAAAATATGAGTAATATATAGAATAACCAACTCAAAACTCAGAATTCCTTCATGAATGAATTAATACAATAAGCATCTTGCCAAAAGCTTGGAGGTGACACTATTCATTCATTCATTCACTCACTCACTCCAGACAGATAACCCATAATGCCTCGTTACTTATTCTCCCCTTATAAAACAACTGGAAGTGTGTGCTGCAATCTAATTGGTTAGAAAACATGATTGATTAAATAGGATTTGAAGCCTGAAATCTCCTGCACATGAATCAATTTCTTGATAAATATCTTTTTTATCTCAGTCACAACTTTGAATAAAAAAATGCCATTGAGAATGGTGAAATGGATACGTTCAATTAAATATTAAATTGGATCAATATTATATTTACCGCATTCTGTCAACTAGGCATGTTTAGTTATCATGGAAGAAAAGAAATCTGAAAACACATAAAGTTATCTCCTAAATCAGGCCACAAAGTTGCGACTAAATTGGTCGCCATGGCGATCTAGTTTTGTATTTTGCGACTGGTATTTTCATGTCAGTTGCCAACTGGCTCCTTGTCTTTAATTAAGTTTGGTGACTATTATGCGCACCCCCTTCTACACAGCTGTGGTTTTTTTTGGAAAAAAATGCGCAGTATACTCAAGAAAATACGGAATGCTTTGAATGGCGAAGCTGACACGGAAGTTTCATCGTCTGTCGACACGTTCGATGAACCAAAACCTGCAACTGGCACCAGTAAACTTTCAGATGATGTTACTGACACAATGTTCTAAAGCTTGTCTGATGGATTTACTGACAGATGTCCTAAAGCTTGTCTGATGATGTTACTGACACAATGTTCTTAAGCTTGTCTGATGGATTTACTGACAGATGTCCTAAAGCTTGTCTGATGATGTTACTGACACAATGTTCTTAAGCTTGTCTGATGGATTTACTGACAGATGTCCTAAAGCTTGTCAGATGATGTTACTGACACAATGTTCTTAAGCTTGTCTGATGGATTTACTGACAGATGTCCTAAAGCTTGTCTGATGATGTTACTGACACAATGTTCTAAAGCTTGTCTGATGGATTTACTGACAGATGTCCTAAAGCTTGTCAGATGATGTTACTGACACAATGTTCTTAAGCTTGTCTGATGGATTTACTGACAGATGTCCTAAAGCTTGTCAGATGATGTTACTGACACAATGTTCTAAAGCTTGTTTGTCTGAAAAACTCAAAAGCTTCAACAACAGTTGTTGTTCATGATATAACACTGATTATTCAAACCAATGGATTTTTGTGCGTTTTGTTGTGCAGAAGCTCAGTTAAATTACAAGTCATTACTTTTGGCTCCTTACATTTTGCCTTGGCTCCTTGAAATTCTATTTGGCTCCTTGAAAAAATAATTTAGGAGCCAAGTGGCTCCTTTGAATTTTTTTTAACTTTGTGGCCTGTAAATATATACTGGTAATATAATTATCCCTGCTATCCAAATCAAATGCTGCGCAGCACATATTCTCTCACTTGAACACTTACACCTTCAAGACATACAGATATACATAAATATCTAGCACAATAATAACATAATAATAAAACATTCAAAGCACTTTTCTTATAAAACAATTCATAATCATACATACATGTATATTAACACATCATAACCATGCTTCTTCGAATGTGCATAAAATTGACAAACATCTTTATTTCATTGACAAAGGTCTGACAATATGTAAATAACAAAGTATGGTGTTTTAATATTCGACCACTGCCAATGTAAATTCTCACAAAATCAAATGCATATTGTGGCGGTGAATATCACAAAATTATGACCATATTCTCCCTCTAGGGGTTGTTAATTGTAATCTTTGATGATTAAGATATTATTTCCCTAATCTGTTATAAAACACTTATGATCATTTCCGAATGGCTAAAATGAACTAATATAGTCTACAAATTGTCATGACTTTGTTTAACATAAGGATGAACTAAGTGTTATTTCACTTTGCTGCAGACATTAACTGGCGTAGTGTCTGACTGGCTAAAGTTGTCATCATGTAAAATAGGAACAGTACGAAGGTAAGTTCCAATTCATTAAGTAGAAAACTTATACTTTCAAAGATATTTTTAAAAGTTCATATAAAAATTGCATAAGTAAGAATATTTATGGTTTATAAATCTCCACAAGGCACAAATCAAAATATCGTAATAAAAAAGTGATGTAGTTTACTTTTAATGCCTATCTGATATATATTTTCTCCTTCCAGCCGGTACAACGTGCACCACACAATATGAGTGAGTGAGTTGGGTTTAACTCTGCTTTGAACATTATTCCAGTTATATCACAACGTATCACCTTCATGTGAGAGGAAAGCCCGAAGTGATGCAGGTCTGAGACGTTTACCACTTTGGTGAAACCCATGAGCATGGGTATGGTGCTGACAAACCTAGAAACATAATCAGGGCGAACCGGGATTCGAACCAACAATCACAGGTTTCCGGCGTGCCCAAGGGACGCAACTCTGCACAGTTAATTGCCCTGCCATAGACGACTGGGCCACTCCCCCCCCCCAAACAATATGACATAACATAACATGTACATATGAAAGGATGATGATGACTTTCGAATGCTTGAATTAACTTTAGATAATAACATTTTTATTGGAAAAAATAACACCCTACAAACCAGCACTCATGTAAATTTGTTTCAAACATGGAACACATACATGACAAGCACAGGTAATAGCTGACTTCATGTCAATAACTATTGATGCCCAAATAATTACACTGTTTGAACAGCAGTTTCAGAGAGCTCTGTTAACAACAGGAAGAGACAGCACTGTAGACACACACCATGCTAAACACAAGTGACAAGGGAGATCATATCAGGCATGTCCGCGGAGTGTAGCAACAAGTCCCAGGGGTAGTAGTCATTTACCATTCTGATTCTGATGCAACCGATGAATGCCCACAGAGAAAGTGTAATAATCATGGCAAATATAAAATTGAAACCCATGATCAGAGGATCCTTGCACTGCTAAGGGAGGCAACTCAGATATGTATGGTTTCCGCCTCCAGACAGATATCACATCACATGTTCCTGGGAGGACAAACAATTGTGAAACGGGGAACCCTCCCAAACATTTGTCAAAAGGCCCCCTTTATTTTTTTTCATTATTTCATTATTTTTGGTTTCATAAAACAATAAATAAAAAACAAAATGCCAAACAGAGGGCACTTATAAATGAGGGATGTTAACAAAACAGATTGCAGTATCAGAGTATGGTTGATCACAACTACATGAGCTGTCATAGAAGGATTTCACTGAGTTGTCTCTGGTGATGGAAGTCAATGAAATACAGTAAAGTTTGTCATAAAAACAGTTTTCACATACACAATTATAACTGAAACATGGCTGACGTTATACAACAGACCAGATCACCAGAGGAAGGCCAGTGAGAACACTACATATGTGAAACACAGTATCACACAATACACGCTGGGTGGAACAGTTGAGTGTGAAACTAACATTCGTATGCATCTCCATAATTACAGGAGCGTTCATGTGGAAACTTGTTAAAAAGACATACTTATCTAAACACATTAGAAACTGTTTTGTGAAAACATTCAGATTACCTTTTAATGGACCGTCAACCATCCATGCATACACAGAGGATTCATCACGAGTGTTTTTTTAATATGGGAAATATCAACCAAGTCTTAGTTAATCAGTATTTGGCGAGGATAAATCAGTGTAATGCATTCAAGGCAAGCTTTATAACTTCTCTGGACACAGATCTTACTGATCCTTATTTTTGAAAAGTAATAAAAGAACTAATTTTGTTGTTGTGTCTGGTGGCTAATAAACAGGTTTCTTTCATAAAACTAATTTTGGACAGTCATAAGCTTGAAGAAAAGATATGTGAAACAAATGTTGCTTGTTTGAATTTAACGGTCAGTGTTTGAAACAGTGTTTACAGCGGCACACGGAATGCTCTGCCATTTAGGTCATGGAGAAGTGAGGAGGTCGGTAATTCAAATCCGACGTCAGATCAGTCACTATGTTATGACTGCATGGCTATAAATTATCTATTTAATATTCACCCCTACCAAACCCCCGTCCCACATAATTTTACCCCCCCCCCCACCAACACCAACACCACTTCCAACAGATTTAACAAATCATTTTGTGTGTACTCGGCTGTATTATTGTGGTGGACAACAGTTATGAGACTAACTACGAAGGATGTATATTACACCTGGTACAGTTTTCTTGAATGAAGTACGATACTTTCCATGCCTACAGATTGCATTTGACCCAAGTACACAAGTAGCATCATATTTCTGCAGTTCATCAAGGTGCCTAGGTATTTTATGATGGTGTAAATAAACAAAATTGGTTACCACACTGTCACCAAACATCTCCGCTGACTCCAACAACTATCCATGTCAGCTTTAGGGGACGATGCTCCTTCCTTGACCGCTGCTATTGGTGAGGAGCTTGGAGGAGATTGTTCAGAAAGAAATTAGGAACAAACTCTCTAAACGCTGACCATCAAAGACTCTGAACTTTGCAGCCACTGCCTGTACCAGACGTCATCATGTGAATCACATCCATCGACAGTTCATGTACTCAGATGCCGCGAACAGTTTGGTAAAAACACATGCTTTCAGTCTCACATCTGTTTCAAAGATTTGGATGAAAATTTAAGAATTAATTCACACTAATTTTCACAAATAGCAACATTTGACACAGTACAAATTTCATATTTGTGGGAACACTTGACAGTCGCATCAATGCAACCAGATTTCCTGTATCATATTGTGAACATCTCATACACCTGCACCACGACGATTCCAGTTTATTTGTTAACACAGAGAATAATTTGCAACCAGTGGGGCAGGATACGCTCCCCTTTTCGCTAACACCTGGTATCATCACTATTTAATACTGATTCATAAACACATGCTTATGATATAGTTGGAAATGTACAATTGACTCTGCTTTTGGCAGAGATTTCTTATGAATATGGAATATTGTCACTTTCATTAACACACAGAACCATTTGTTAACACACTGAATCATTTGTTTACACGCTGAATCATTTGTTAAGACATACAATCTTGTTAACATAAAGATTCATTTGGTAACATAGAGAATCATTTGTAAACTGAGAGAATCATTGTTAACAGAATAATCAACATAGAATCATTTGTCATCACCTTGAATTATTTGTTAACACCTTGAATCAATTAACACCTTGAATCATTTAACACCTTGAATCATATAACACCTTGAATCATTTAACACCTTGAATCATTTGTTAACACCTTGAATCATTTGTTAACACATTGAATCATATAACACCTTGAATCATTTAACACATTGAATCATTTGTTAACACAGATGAGAATAACACATTAAAGATTTAACATACAGAATCATTTGTTAATACAGACTTATTAGTTAACAGATAGAATCATTTCCTTAGGCATTGAATCATCATTTAGGAATAGAGGAATGAATGCTATTCCGTTTAAAAAAATGCATGCTTCTTCTAAACAGCACCTAATGCCGACAAGTGCCTTTTGATCATGACTTTTAAATTCAATCATATCATTAGATCACTAAGACTAGACAGTAAAAATACCATATTCAACCAAATAAATGCAAGGGGAGGGAGGTGGTGAAGAGGATGCTGATGGTGACAGTGACATTTAATATCATATCTACAGTGGACCTCAAATTATTCATTACAAGGAGTGCTAATAATTAGTGATTGTTTATTTGGTAGAATATGGTATTCTAATTATCATTTCACATTGTAATGCCTTAATCTTTTCATTATTGACCAACTGAGTCCAGAGTTTGAAAAAGGGCTGAAAATAATCAATCTAATTGTTTTGATTGACTGATAACATATAATATGATGTATACTTGTTTTCTCTTCCCTCCACCAAAATTCTCAGTCTCTCATCTCAAAAACCGAATTACAGCAATCAACCACAAAATACACTATGGGCTTTGTGTATGCTGACTGAGCAACTCATCACAGACAAGGTGCTATATTTATAAATTTTTACTCCATTATAGAAAAACGATATTAAACATTCTATAAAATAATCATCTAGAAAATATCACTGATTAACATGAGGTATGAGCAAATTTCATACACCGGATTTCATTCTTTTCGTCAAAGAACTCCTCCTGAAAACACAAACTGTGGTAGCACACATTATAACATTGTAATATCTCTGTCAAATCCATCATAACGTTGACATAATCACTATAGGTCATGAAAGTAATGGAAAAAATGCAAGTACCCCTTGCTTAAACAAATTTAAACAAACTTAAACATTATTTAGTAATAAATACTGTAAATTAGTGCTAAATTCACGGTTTATCACTGAGGACCGCGTCAAGTCTGCACATGTTGACTTTATAACAGTTGTCATCCAGACGACGGCATCTTTGTTTAAAGGTAGAGTACTCACATTAATTTCATTGCATTTTAACCCAGGGGTCGTCACTCACATTACTTTGGCGATGCATTAATTACATGATTTACAGTATTTTCATTGTATGTTTTTTAACATTTTCTATCAATATTAAAACATGTAAAATGCAACATAATGAACCATTCAATATTTATGTGTTAGTATTTATTGATTTGACAGCTTTTGATAACAAATAAAACATACATGGCTTTTTACATTTTGAAACATGACAAATATTTCAGCATTCATAGAGTTATGTAAAAAAAACCAACATGACCCCAAATCTTTGAAAATCAAAATTTCAACATTTATCTTGGTAACCTTATCACAGGTTTTCTAGAAGTCGTATTAGTCCAAATTATTTGTATTTTTAGTATGTCATTCAAACATAATCAGAGATCTAAAATCCCTTACCCAACCATTATCTTGATAATCATTACAATGTTCATCTTAATGCCAAATAGCAACATCATCTGGTGAACATAAAACTATTTACACATAAAAAACTAATTTGACATGAAACAAACGTTTTGGTGATGAATGTTCTCGGTTCAGCAGGGGAAAGCCAATTCATCATTGTGGTGCACAGACAACATTCAGGAATCAAGGTGAAACTCTACATCTGATGTTCTGCAGGAGCTGATCAAATTGCAAGATGGTGGTGTTTGGAGACATTTACACTGACTTCCCAACACCCTACACCAAGAAGTAGACGAGGGAATATAGCAATCTCATTAAAATCTGATCTTCACATCCCCAATAGGAGGCTGCAGCATGTAAATTCTCCTAACAGCCAAACAGCACTGAAGCTTCTAAATTCTCAGCACAAGCGAGTGAATCATTCAGAATAGAATATGTGATTTCAGTGTCTTGAAAATAAACATAAATGGCCAATTCGGAATTAAAATAGTAAAGGCTGCGCCATTATATTCCTGTGGGTATGTTACACCTCCTGTCATTTGTGAGCACTGCATCTACTGGACACCCAAATAGGAGGCCCATCGAAAGAATATTTGTGTTCTGTGTGGGTTATCTTGTCTTTAATTAAAATTTCTGAATTGAGGAGTCAAAGCACTACAGTAAAATTATGTCAGAAAGTTGTTGGTTCAAGAAACCACTCATCCTTCATTTAGATTGGGAGGTCAAAGGTTGTTCCGAGTTCCCCTGACACGACTTCCATCAGCAGGTTGTCAGATCTTGATGCACAGAGGTATCTTATCAAAGGAAATATGTCTGATCTTAATGAGATTGGGAATACAGACATTCATGTTACTGACCATATAGGCACCTGAAAAGTTTGTTGGAAAGACTGATGCCATTGAGAATGTTGACTGTCGTTCAAAGTTGCAGTGGCTCCCGGAGCCTGAGATCTCTTGTGTTGCTATGGAAACTGGTCCTTTCTCAATCAAGCTCTGAATCACTGTCACTGACAATACTTTCCTGAAACAAAGAATAAAGTAAATAAATACACATTCTACTCACATATTTATGATTGATATCGATTCTTGAAACATTTGATGATTTCGGATTTTATGTTGTAGTTAAAAAAAACCCACATTGGACATGGTGGACTATAATGTATAATTGGGATGGACAGTGGACAGTAGTGTCAGCATCAATCCACATCACAGTCTGCGATTCTAGCCACTGATCCAAAACAAGAGCAAAACATTTAATAAGGTTTATGAAAAAGGTAATAAAGTCTATAGAAAGCAATGCTTAATGAACTATTTAGGTTAGTAGACACAAAATGGATCCATATCTGAAAGTTCAAATATAAAGAACTTTCAGATATGGATCTTTATGTTTGAACTTTCAGCCATGGATACATTTTGTGTAGTGCAGTCACTGCTAAAAAGTCTGCAATGTATCCATGTCTGAAGGTCAAATATAAAGGTAAGCAGCGACTATCCTTGTTGTAAGAGGCGTGTTACGGGATCAGGTTGTCAGGCTCGCTGACTTGGTTGATGCATGTCATCATATCCCAATTGCGTAGATCGATGCTCATGATATAAATCACTGGGTTGTCTGGTCTAGACTCGATTATTTACAAACAGCCGTCATATAACTGCAATATTGCCGAGTGTGACGTTAAACGACAAACAAAATAAACCAAATATAAAGTGTAAAAGCCTCGGGTCAAAACAGAGTTATGCCCCCTTCATCATACCTCTTTTGCTCTAAGTGTAAACTGTGTATATCACACAGAATCGCACCAATGTCTTTGAATTAGGGAGGCTAGTGGTATGTGGAAGAAGCGACTGTTCTAAGACTATTTGTATTGTAGAAGTTGAAGCAAATGATTGAAGCACTCGTAAAATATAGAGTGCTTCCTTGGCCAGATTTGAGCAGTTTGCGTAAACAACAAACATTGCAAGTTTCATTTCCAAGAAGTTTTGGGATGGGACAGTCTGGCTGTCTGAATCTACGTAAGAGTGACATAAGGCTGATGTACTTGCCAAGTGCGGATTGGATTCTTATCTGAAAACAAAAATTCCTGCCAGCTTCTAACACTATTCCAAATTCAAGACAAGAGACAGCCCTGCATCAAGACATTTGACAGTGAAATATTCTGGACATTCGTGAGTGCACTGACATATATTATGGTGCCTGTTACTTACCGGTATTGCTTGTGCCGACCAATTGTAAGGCCTTGTTTGTTGTAAATCTAAAACTGTGTGTCTGAACATAATTTGCTGAGAATTCAGTGATCTTGTGTGGTCATATACTGATTCACAATTTAGTTCTGTCTGTACTGATTTCTAGGTTAACCTTTGTATTTCAATTTAGAAATCACATCCTAATGGCAGGACAAAAATGGACTCAAGTGCCCGTGTCTAAAAACCCATTCTGGGCACCATTGTACAAACAACCTTAGCGCTATGATGGTCGTAAGTCTTTGCAGAGCTATCTTGTAATTCACTGAAAACATGACCAATAAATAGTGAGAGGTTTCAATGCTTAGTTTTATGTTACTGCATTGATTGCAATCTAAACATACCTGTTAATAATGTTAAAATACCTCGGAATCTAAAAAAATAGTAACTGTATTCCCCCAATTTGCCTGCCAGGAAAGCCTGGGATAAATCCTTTGTAGGACACGCATGAATGTCCATGCTGAAACTATGATTCTCTGTCGGCAACAAGTAAATGAGTACACGTCAGAGCCCTACTTTGGATACTAACAGGTCAACATTATCATGAATGTCCACGCTGAAACTATGATTCTCTGTCGGCAACAAGTAAATGAGTACACGTCAGAGCCCTACTTTGGATACTAACAGGTCAACATTATCATGAATGTCCACGCTGAAACGATGATTCTCTGTCGGCAACAAGTAAATGAGTACACGTCAGAGCCCTACTTTGGATACTAACAGGTCAACATTATCATGAATGTCCATGCTGAAACGATGATTCTCTGTCGGCAACAAGTAAATGAGTACACGTCAGAGCCCTACTTTGGATACTAACAGGTCAACATTATCATGAATGTCCACGCTGAAACGATGATTCTCTGTCGGCAACAAGTCAATGAGTACACGTCAGAGCCCTACTTTGGATACTAACAGGTCAACATTATCATGAATGTCCATGCTAAAAACGATGATTCTCTGTTGGCAACAAGTAAATGAGTACACGTCAGAGCCCTACTTTGGATACTAACAGGTCAACATTATCATGAATGTCCATGCTGAAACGATGATTCTCTGTCGGCAACAAGTCAATGAGTACACGTCAGAGCCCTACTTTGGATACTAACAGGTCAACATTATCATGAATGTCCACGCTGAAACGATGATTCTCTGTCGGCAACAAGTAAATGAGTACACGTCAGAGCCCTACTTTGGATACTAACAGGTCAACATTATCATGAATGTCCATGCTAAAAACGATGATTCTCACCCATCCTCCCTGGTCCACTATCCAGGATGCACACCTCTCCGTCACATACTTCAGAGTCAGGTCCTTCAGCTCGTTGGCCTTCTTGCTCCCGACCCCTGCTACCTTCAGCGCGCTCTTTGTGGCATGGAACACCAGCGCCATCTGGTTCCAGTTGACTTCATCGCCCACAGACTGCCGGAGTGTTGAGCAGAACTTCTGGTACACTGTCTGCCTGACTGCCCCGTCAATGAATTCAGTAGCGTGCTCGTCAATCTGGAGATTTGGGCAAAGTTGGTCTTTGGAAATAAACATTTCTGATGTTTATATAAAAAAAATTGTTTACAAATGAATGCATTGTTGTAAATTTGAAAGTATCAGAGTGCCAAACTGTGTGAGTTAGTGAATTATATCTACACCACAGTTTGCGATAATAATCCAATCTAGGGGAGACAAGCATGGGGTACTGGGGACCTGTTGTCTGGAACACTGTGGGGAGACAAGCATGGGGTACTGGGGACCTGTTCTGTCTGGAACACTGTGGGGAGACAAGCATGGGGTACTGGGGACCTGTTGTGTCTGGAACACTGTGGGGAGACAAGCATGGGGTACTTGGGACCTGTTCTGTCTGGAACACTGTGGGGAGACAAGCATGGGGTACTGGGGACCTGCTGTGTCTGGAACACTGTGGGGAGACAAGCATGGGGTACTGGGGACCTGTTGTGTCTGGAACACTTGGGGGGAGACAAGCATGGCATACTGGGGACCTGTTGTGTCTGGAACACTGGGGGGAGACAAGCATGGGGTACTGGGGACCTGTTGTGTCTGGAACACTTGGGGGGAGACAAGCATGGCATACTGGGGACCTGGTCTGTCTGGAACACTGGGGGGAGACAAGCATGGGGTACTGAGGACCTGTTGTGTCTGGAACACTTGGGGGAGACAAGCATGGCATACTGGGGACCTGTTGTGTCTGGAACACTGGGGGGAGACAAGCATGGCATACTGGGGACCTGTTGTGTCTGGAACACTGGGGGGAGACAAGCATGGGGTACTGGGGACCTGTTGTGTCTGGAACACTTGGGGGGAGACAAGCATGGCATACTGGGGACCTGTTGTGTCTGGAACACTGGGGGGAGACAAGCATGGGGTACTGGGGACCTGTTCTGTCTGGAACACTGTGGGGAGACAAGCATGGGGTACTGGGGCCCTGTTCTGTCTGGAACACTGGGGGGAGACAAGCATGGGGTACTGGGGACCTGCTCTGTCTGGAACACTGGGGGGAGACAAGCATGGGGTACTGGGGACCTGTTCTGTCTGGAACACTGGGGGGAGACAAGCATGGTGTACTGGGGACCTGTTCTGTCTGGAACACTGGGGGGAGACAAGCATGGGGTACTGGGGACCTATTCTGTCTGGAACACTGTGGGGAGACAAGCATGGCATACTGGGGACCTATTGTGTCTGGAACACTGTGGGGAGACAAGCATGGCGTACTGGGGACCTGTTCTGTCTGGAACACTGTGGGGAGACAAGCATGGGGTACTGGGGACCTGTTGTGTCTGGAACACTGGGGGGAGACAAGCATGGCGTACTGGGGACCTATTGTGTCTGGAACACTGTGGGGAGACAAGCATGGGGTACTGGGGACCTGTTCTGTCTGGAACACTGTGGGGAGACAAGCATGGGGTACTGGGGACCTGTTCTGTCTGGAACACTGTGGGGAGACAAGCATGGGGTACTGGGGACCTGTTCTGTCTGGAACACTGGGGGGAGACAAGCATGGGGTACTGGGGACCTGTTCTGTCTGGAACACTGTGGGGAGACAAGCATGGGGTACTGGGGACCTGTTCTGTCTGGAACACTGGGGGGAGACAAGCATGGGGTACTGGGGACCTGTTGTGTCTGGAACACTGGGGGGAGACAAGCATGGGGTACTGGGGACCTGTTCTGTCTGGAACACTGGGGGGAGACAAGCATGGGGTACTGGGGACCTGTTCTGTCTGGAACACTGTGGGGAGACAAGCATTGCGTACTCGGGACCTGTTCTGTCTGGAACACTGTGGGGAGACAAGCATGGGGTACTAGGGACCTGTTCTGTCTGGAACACTGTGGGGAGACAAGCATGGGGTACTGGGGACCTGTTCTGTCTGGAACACTGTGGGGAGACAAGCATGGCATACTGGGGACCTGTTGTGTCTGGAACACTTGGGGGAGACAAGCATGGGGTACTGGGGACCTGTTGTGTCTGGAACACTTGGGGGGAGACAAGCATGGGTACTGAGGACCTGTTGTGTCTGGAACACTGTGGGGAGACAAGCATGGGGTACTGGGGACCTGTTCTGTCTGGAACACTGGGGGGAGACAAGCATGGGGTACTGGGGACCTGCTGTGTCTGGAACACTGTGGGGAGACAAGCATGGGGTACTGGGGACCTGTTGTGTCTGGAACACTGGGGGGAGACAAGCATGGGGTACTGGGGACCTGCTGTGTCTGGAACACTGTGGGGAGACAAGCATGGAGTACTGAGGACCTGTTGTGTCTGGAACACTTGGGGGGAGACAAGCATGGGGTACTGGGGACCTGTTGTGTCTGGAACACTTGGGGGAGACAAGCATGGGGTACTGGGGACCTGTTGTGTCTGGAACACTGTGGGGAGACAAGCATGGGTACTGGGGACCTGTTCTGTCTGGAACACTGGGGGGAGACAAGCATGGGGTACTGGGGACCTGTTCTGTCTGGAACACTGTGGGGAGACAAGCATGGGGTACTGGGGACCTGTTCTGTCTGGAACACTGGGGGGAGACAAGCATGGGGTACTGGGGACCTGCTGTGTCTGGAACACTGTGGGGAGACAAGCATGGGGTACTGGGGACCTGTTGTGTCTGGAACACTATGGGGAGACAAGCATGGGGTACTGGGGACCTGTTGTGTCTGGAACACTGGGGGGAGACAAGCATGGGGTACTGGGGACCTGTTCTGTCTGGAACACTGTGGGGAGACAAGCATGGGGTACTTGGGACCTGTTCTGTCTGGAACACTGGGGGGAGACAAGCATGGGGTACTGGGGACCTATTCTGTCTGGAACACTGTGGGGAGACAAGCATGGCATACTGGGGACCTATTGTGTCTGGAACACTGTGGGGAGACAAGCATGGCGTACTGGGGACCTGTTCTGTCTGGAACACTGTGGGGAGACAAGCATGGGGTACTGGGGACCTGTTGTGTCTGGAACACTGGGGGGAGACAAGCATGGCGTACTGGGGACCTATTGTGTCTGGAACACTGTGGGGAGACAAGCATGGGGTACTGGGGACCTGTTCTGTCTGGAACACTGTGGGGAGACAAGCATGGGGTACTGGGGACCTGTTCTGTCTGGAACACTGTGGGGAGACAAGCATGGGGTACTGGGGACCTGTTCTGTCTGGAACACTGGGGGGAGACAAGCATGGGGTACTGGGGACCTGTTCTGTCTGGAACACTGGGGGGAGACAAGCATGGGGTACTGGGGACCTGTTCTGTCTGGAACACTGTGGGGAGACAAGCATGGGGTACTGGGGACCTGTTCTGTCTGGAACACTGGGGGGAGACAAGCATGGGGTACTGGGGACCTGTTCTGTCTGGAACACTGGGGGGAGACAAGCATGGGGTACTGGGGACCTGTTCTGTCTGGAACACTGGGGGGAGACAAGCATGGGGTACTGGGGACCTGTTCTGTCTGGAACACTGTGGGGAGACAAGCATGGGGTACTGGGGACCTGCTGTGTCTGGAACACTGTGGGGAGACAAGCATGGGGTACTGGGGACCTGTTGTGTCTGGAACACTTGGGGGGAGACAAGCATGGCATACTGGGGACCTGTTCTGTCTGGAACACTGTGGGGAGACAAGCATGGGGTACTGGGGACCTGTTCTGTCTGGAACACTGGGGGGAGACAAGCATGGGGTACTGGGGACCTGCTGTGTCTGGAACACTGTGGGGAGACAAGCATGGGGTACTGGGGACCTGTTGTGTCTGGAACACTATGGGGAGACAAGCATGGGGTACTGGGGACCTGTTGTGTCTGGAACACTGGGGGGAGACAAGCATGGGGTACTGGGGACCTGTTCTGTCTGGAACACTGTGGGGAGACAAGCATGGGGTACTTGGGACCTGTTCTGTCTGGAACACTGGGGGGAGACAAGCATGGGGTACTGGGGACCTATTCTGTCTGGAACACTGTGGGGAGACAAGCATGGCATACTGGGGACCTATTGTGTCTGGAACACTGTGGGGAGACAAGCATGGCGTACTGGGGACCTGTTCTGTCTGGAACACTGTGGGGAGACAAGCATGGGGTACTGGGGACCTGTTGTGTCTGGAACACTGGGGGGAGACAAGCATGGCGTACTGGGGACCTATTGTGTCTGGAACACTGTGGGGAGACAAGCATGGGGTACTGGGGACCTGTTCTGTCTGGAACACTGTGGGGAGACAAGCATGGGGTACTGGGGACCTGTTCTGTCTGGAACACTGTGGGGAGACAAGCATGGGGTACTGGGGACCTGTTCTGTCTGGAACACTGGGGGGAGACAAGCATGGGGTACTGGGGACCTGTTCTGTCTGGAACACTGGGGGGAGACAAGCATGGGGTACTGGGGACCTGTTCTGTCTGGAACACTGTGGGGAGACAAGCATGGGGTACTGGGGACCTGTTCTGTCTGGAACACTGGGGGGAGACAAGCATGGGGTACTGGGGACCTGTTCTGTCTGGAACACTGGGGGGAGACAAGCATGGGGTACTGGGGACCTGTTCTGTCTGGAACACTGGGGGGAGACAAGCATGGGGTACTGGGGACCTGTTCTGTCTGGAACACTGTGGGGAGACAAGCATTGCGTACTCGGGACCTGTTCTGTCTGGAACACTGTGGGGAGACAAGCATGGGGTACTAGGGACCTGTTCTGTCTGGAACACTGTGGGGAGACAAGCATGGGGTACTGGGGACCTGTTCTGTCTGGAACACTGTGGGGAGACAAGCATGGCATACTGGGGACCTGTTGTGTCTGGAACACTTGGGGGAGACAAGCATGGGGTACTGGGGACCTGTTGTGTCTGGAACACTTGGGGGGAGACAAGCATGGGTACTGAGGACCTGTTGTGTCTGGAACACTGTGGGGAGACAAGCATGGGGTACTGGGGACCTGTTCTGTCTGGAACACTGGGGGGAGACAAGCATGGGGTACTGGGGACCTGCTGTGTCTGGAACACTGTGGGGAGACAAGCATGGGGTACTGGGGACCTGTTGTGTCTGGAACACTATGGGGAGACAAGCATGGGGTACTGGGGACCTGTTGTGTCTGGAACACTGGGGGGAGACAAGCATGGGGTACTGGGGACCTGTTCTGTCTGGAACACTGTGGGGAGACAAGCATGGGGTACTTGGGACCTGTTGTGTCTGGAACACTGGGGGGAGACAAGCATGGGGTACTGGGGACCTGTTGTGTCTGGAACACTGGGGGGAGACAAGCATGGAGTACTGAGGACCTGTTGTGTCTGGAACACTTGGGGGGAGACAAGCATGGGGTACTGGGGACCTGTTGTGTCTGGAACACTTGGGGGAGACAAGCATGGGGTACTGGGGACCTGTTGTGTCTGGAACACTGTGGGGAGACAAGCATGGGTACTGGGGACCTGTTCTGTCTGGAACACTGGGGGGAGACAAGCATGGGGTACTGGGGACCTGTTCTGTCTGGAACACTGTGGGGAGACAAGCATGGGGTACTGGGGACCTGTTCTATCTGGAACACTGGGGGGAGACAAGCATGGCATACTGGGGACCTGTTCTGTCTGGAACACTGGGGGGAGACAAGCATGGGTACTGAGGAATGTTGCGTCTAGAACATTGTGGGGAGACAAGCATGGCATACAGGGGACCTGTTCTGTCTGGAACACTGTGGGGAGACAAGCATGGGGTACTGGGGACCTGTTGTGTCTGGAACACTGTGGGGAGACAAGCATGGGGTACTGGGGACCTGTTGTGTCTGGAACACTGTGGGGAGACAAGCATGGGGTACTGGGGACCTGTTGTGTCTGGAACACTTGGGGGAGACAAGCATGGGGTACTGGGGACCTGTTGTGTCTGGAACACTGGGGGGAGACAAGCATGGGTACTGGGGACCTGTTCTGTCTGGAACACTGGGGGGAGACAAGCATGGGGTACTGGGGACCTGTTCTGTCTGGAACACTGTGGGGAGACAAGCATGGGGTACTGGGGACCTGTTCTATCTGGAACACTGGGGGGAGACAAGCATGGCATACTGGGGACCTGTTCTGTCTGGAACACTGGGGGGAGACAAGCATGGGTACTGAGGAATGTTGCGTCTAGAACATTGTGGGGAGACAAGCATGGCATACAGGGGACCTGTTCTGTCTGGAACACTGTGGGGAGACAAGCATGGGGTACTGGGGACCTGTTGTGTCTGGAACACTGTGGGGAGACAAGCATGGGGTACTGGGGACCTGTTGTGTCTGGAACACTGTGGGGAGACAAGCATGGGGTACTGGGGACCTGTTGTGTCTGGAACACTGTGGGGAGACAAGCATGGGGTACTGGGGACCTGTTGTGTCTGGAACACTGGGGGGAGACAAGCATGGGGTACTGGGGACCTGTTGTGTCTGGAACACTGGGGGGAGACAAGCATGGGGTACTGGGGACCTGTTCTGTCTGTGACCTGTGTGGTCGTGTCATGTTGCTAGGAGACTCACATTGTGGGACATCCGGTCTCCTCCTTCTCTCAGGCACTCCAGGATCTGCTGCTCCAAGGATGACAACTTCCCATCTCCTGTAACCATGGTGACAACACAACTCAAAATAATTGGTCAACAAGACATCCGATGGTAACACTATCAAGATAACAACATGGTGCACATATGCATTTAGTTAAAAGTGATTTGCTAATAATTATAAAACCTATTAGAAATGCCAGAACAGAAAAGAAGTCCATGACGCCTCTGCAGTGCATCTTTACACACTATATTGATAACTGAGGAGAGGTTCAATGAGGTTCAATGGCATGTTCAAGATTATTGCACTTTTAGAACGACATGCATGAACGTGTGTATGTGTGCGTCTATGTGCATGTGTGTGTTGCTGATTGTACTAGTCCGGGCTAATGCCAATTATATAGTGCTAGCCCGCTGAGATACCATGCCACAGTTTAACATGAATACCCCACTCAGACACAGCATACTGACTCCGAGCCGACCAGTCCGTGTTTTAGCCCCTTAATGCCGAGCGCAGGTAGGGAAACAACCAGTACCATCTTTAACGACTTTTGGTATGACGTGACCGGGGATTGAACCCCCGACCTTGTACTCTATCCACTAGAACATGGAGGTGGAACCCCCGACCTTGTACTCTATCCACTAGAACATGGAGGTGGAACCCCCGACCTTGTACTCTATCCACTAGAACATGGAGGTGGAACCCCCGACCTTGTACTCTATCCACAAGAACATGGAGGTGGAACCCCAGACCCTGTACTCTATCCACTAGAACATGGAGGTGGAACCCCCGACCTTGTACTCTATCCACTAGAACATGGAGGTGGAACCCCAGACCTTGTACTCTATCCACTAGAACATGGAGGTGGAACCCCCGACCTTGTACTCTATCCACTAGAACATGGAGGTGGAACCCCCGACCTTGTACTCTTTCCACTAGAACATGGAGGTGGAACCCCGACCCTGTACTCTATCCACTAGAACATGAAGGTGGAACCCCCGACCCTGTACTCTATCCACTAGAACATGAAGGTGGAACCCCGACCTAGTACTCTATCCACTAGAACATGGAGGTGGAACCCCCGACATTGTACTCTATCCACTAGAACATGGAGGTGGAACCCCTGACCTTGTACTCTATCCACTAGAACATGGAGGTGGAACCCCGACCCTGTACTCTATCCATTAGAAAATGGAGGTGGTCCATATTAACAAGTACTGAAACAGTGCCAGGATATTTTTCACTATTTTAATTGAAGAATTTAACAATATAAGAAACTTTAACAACCCAATTTTTTTTAGGACATCCAGCATGTTCAGGAGACCTTTTTTTTAGTTTATCATAAAACCTGAGGTAGAATAATTTTTTCAAGTTTTTTTTTTTTTAACGAATTATTATTGTCTTGAATTTCAGGCCCCCAGATGATAAAATGGTTGTTCCCTAAAAAGTTGTGCACTGAATAAAGAAAAACCAGACGACAACCTCACCTCTGCCTGGAGCGCCCCCTACAGCGCCCTCTGCTTCTTGTGACCGATGAGACTCGGACTCCGATGACAAGTTGTCACCGATCTCTATCAGCTTCTTCACGATCTTGTCAATAGCCTCGTCCTTGTCAGCCGGTGAGTCGGTCGGAGAATCAACCTCATCTGGATCAGCAGAACAAAAACATATGATGTCATATGCCATAAATATCAATTATTTAAGAAAAATGTCGCTGTGCAGAGTTGTGTCCCTTGGACACACGAGAAACCTATGATTGTGGGTTCGAATCCCGGTTCGCCCCAATTTTGTTTCTAGTTTTGTCAGCACCATACACATGCTCGTGGGCTCACCGAAGTGGTAAACGTCTGAGACCTGCATCACTTCGGGCTTTCCTCCCACATTAAGCTGACATATAACTGGAATACTGTTAAAAGCGGCATTAAACCCAACTCACTCACTCATTATTCTGTGCCAATTTCAAACCCTGTATGCTATGGCATACAGGGAGACATGATACCAACAGATTCTCACCCATTTCATCGTGGAGGTCTGTACTGCCATCTATTTCAATAGAAGTCTGTGGCAGGAACCTTGTCCTTTGATGGGAGTGCGTAGTCACATTACACTCCCATAATCCGTCATCGGCGATTGTCACACACTTCCTATCTATGTCAACACTGGATTCAATTACACCTCTCTGAGGCACCATATTTGGAAATAAACCTTTGTCAATATGGGCACCGTGAACTTGGATTGTTCTTGGTGCCGAGTGATCTGTACTCTGCGATACCAAAATATCAGTCCTTGATTTCGTTTTTCGCTGACCTGCAGAGTCTCCATGCTTGCTGCCATTAGCTTTCTTTTCTTTGGGTTCTGGTGTTTTGGAACTGCTTCTTGACCTATGACCTCCTTGACCTCCCTCCTCTGCTAGGTTCCTGTCCGGGGTTGAAATGCTCCGTGAGTAGGATCGTTCTCGTTCACTTGTATCAACTGGCTCAGCAGATTTTGATTCTGGCAAAAAGATATGCAGCTTAAAGCAATGATACTTGTAATAATTGTCAAATAATTGCTGAAAGTATCACCATAGTAACCATGAAATACCAAAAGAAATTAAGAATTACAAAAGGGTGGAAATAGAATTTTTCATGATCTTTCTCTTTGTGATACAACAAATATTGGTTCAGACATGTCAAAAAGAAACGCATAGATCTTGTCATGCTTCGTCCCTCGGCAAGCGTGTCCAATAGCCAATATCAAGTCTAGTTTTCACCCTTGCTATCCCAAGCCTACTTTTATGTGCTGAATCATGAAAGGACTATACCACATAACGATAGTCCAATCATGTTTTACACAATCAACATCTGGGTCCCAAAAACGTAATCGCTTTGACCACAGCCATTGCCTGTCAAAATTGCACTGAACTTATTTACAAAATTAAGCATTTTCTACCCTGTTGCCTCGGGAAAATGCTTGCCATTTAGCAAAAACAGCTTGAGGAAATATTCCCTGAAGGAAGTACACATACAGTGAATGAATCTGACTAAATATCATGGCGACCCCAGCCAACAATATTCAAGATACATGATGGCAGTCTGTAAACAATCACATCAACATGATCAAGTTGAAAGAAACCAGTGGTTGATAGCATGAACAACCATCTATGCCACTGGAATATGACAACACAGCATCAGCCAAACATAACAATGTGACCAAACCATTCTTTATTAATGTACCTCTTGCATCAAGACATACTGTGATACTGGGTCATACTTCAATTAATGAATATAGTACATCCTGGAGTACTGTGCTTCAATAAGAGCAATTAAGTTCTAATAATCACCTGGACAAACAATTTGTTTGTTTGTATATTGTTTACCGCAGCACTCAGCACTATTCAAGCTATATGACGGCGGTCTGTAAATAATTGAGTCTGGACCAGACAATCCAGTGATTGACATCATGAGCATCGCTCCACGCAATTGGGATACGATGACATGCATCAACCAAGTCAGCGAGCCTGATCACCTGGTCCCGTTAGTCGCCTCTTACGACAAGCATTGACAAACAGAAGTGACAATATTTGGAAGAGAAAACTTTGGGAGATAAGTAAGTTAGAAAAAATACTGATCAAACTGTAATTCATCTTTTACCATGGTTAAAAGAAAAATATAATAATCGTGAATTATGATAATATGCATACCTGGTATATCACCCTTTTTGACCTTCCTGAAAGACTTTCTTATGGAATCAAAGAATCTTTTCCCTGCCGAATTTCTTCTAGAAGAGGATGAGTGACTGTCATGATGTGACGACTTATCGTCTGGAATATCCAAAGTGTCACCTTTAGCACGCCAATTACCGGTAGTCGATATGTACGTGTCAATATGTACGTGAGTGTCTTTCTCATGTCTAGTGTTCATATCAGGTGAATCGCGTAAATCCTTATTTTTACTCTTTCGTTTAATCTTCTTCCTTTTGTTTGTCTTTGACTCATAAACATACACATCATCTTCTCCAGATCTATTGTCTCGATGGAAAGCATGCATCAGCCTTTCCGTGGCCCGTTTGAAAAAACTTTTCTTTTGTCGTCGTGGTGAACTGTCGTCATGTGGTTCATCCAAATCAGTGTCAGGCGAAGAATACCCAAGACTGACTTTTTTAGTTCCTTTTATACTTTTGTTTTTTATGTGGCCATCCTTTTCCACTTTAAAACTGGAAGGCATGGTTTTGGAACGTCCAATACCATTCTGAGAACCATGCAAGTCCTCCTGGCGTTCATCCTCACCTTCAGCAGCCCTTGAAGCGGCCTTGTAGCTCTCACTCCTCCCATACTTTGAGGGACGTGGTTCCGTGTCCTTCAGCTTGCGTTTCAGGTATTCTTCCAAGATTCTCTTGGCATCTTGATAGACCTCCTCACTCGTGGGTTTCGTGTGGTGATGACTGTGATCTGACATTCTGTGTCTTTTTTCCTGAAGATAAACACACAATAATACTAAAATAGGTAATCAGCATTTCCTTTCATCACTGTCAATTTTAAAATGGATGGGAGTGTGAGCTACAATCTAACTATCCTAATAAAACTGTGCCCATCAATCACTCATGATCCACAGGATGGTTGAGCCTCACACTCGTCCCACTGGACGTTTTAAATGTTTTGAATGGGATTTTAGCATTAATGATTTTACGATCTATCCATATTTGCAAAATTGTATATACCCACAAGATTTGCACTTTAAACATATACCCAATAATATAACTTCAAAGTATTTTGATGCAATGAGCTGAGGAAATGCATCTGAAACTATTATTAATCAGGAATAATATATTTCATTATTGTGTTATTTTCTTTTCTTTAAAAGAACATTAACCATAAGCATAGCAGTTTGGTACAGCTGAACACTATTGCTGGATATTTTTATGTATGGTGCAATGTAACCAGTCACCGTTGAGGCTTTCCATGGTCTTGATCGCGAAAACAATATGTTGACATATAACAGTCAAACTACAACAAAAATGACTTTTAACTGGTTAAAGTATGGCATTTATGATATATGTATCCATTCTCTGTCAACTAAAATTTGTTTCAAGGTGTCAATAGCAGTAATCTGACCATGGTTATCTGGGATGGTACGATCTGCTGATTACTTCTGACACGATTTCGCTGAAATCAATGTAAACAATATTGAATGAAATTTTGAATAAAATTAATAAAATAGATTAAAAACATAAATCTGGATATACAATGAACCCTTTTTATAACCAGGTAGTGTAACAACAGGATTAAATTGCATACTTCAATTGCATAACGATTTGTTGTCATGGTATTTAGGGTGAAATGAGCTCATGGTAATGTCCTTGTGATGGGGAAAAAACATCAAAACTCATTATGGCGTGTGTTATGCGCAACCCCCTCTACATAGCTGTGGGTCTTTTTTTAAACAAATATGCAGTATACTCAGAAAACATGGTCACTGACAAACGATCATTTCCGAACACAAAATAATTCCTGAAACACTTAACACACAACACAATCAAACCAACATTCTATACATACAGCTGTCAAATTTATTGATAATCAAATGGATCAGAAGACGGAAAAAGCCCTGTAAGGCAGACTTGGTGCCAGCCTTATCGGTGAAATTGCTCATCACATCAAACACCGGGAACCTGTTTGAACCCCAGTGGCGTTTTTTTTGTTTGGGGGATTATTTCACATGTCATTTTTTATCGTTTTAAAACTGTTTCACGTTTTTTTCAAATTTGTGTTCAAGTATGCCCTAAAGTGTCCATATCTGTAAAGTTGCTATGTTGAGTTTTTTTCAAAAAAACATGTGCAACCGACTATGCCTCTTTAAAAATACTTAGTGCACCATGGTAAACCACAAAGTGAGTGAGTGAGTGAGTTGGGTTTAACGCCGCTTTTAACAGTATTCCAGTCATATCGCGGCGTGTCAGCTTAATGTGGGAGGAAAGCCCGAAGTGATGCAGGTCTCAGACGTTTACCACTTCGGTGAAACCCACGAGCAGGGGTATGGTGCTGACAAACCTAGAAACATAATTGGGGCGAACCGGGATTCGAACCCACAATCATAGGTTTCTGGTGTGCCGAAGGGACGCAACTCTGCATAACTAATCGCGGTGCCTTAGACGTCTGGGCCACCCGTGCCCCCGTAAACCACAAAGAAGTAACAATACATTAATGTGAATGGCACATGAATTTAGATGCTACTTTGAATAATAAGATGGAACTGTGAAAGATATAACAGTCAAATATAACTCTCTTCTGCGACTGTTATAACCTTACCGGTGTCAATGATCAGTTATGATGAAAAATCTAAAATTCTAGATTCTAGCTTATAACTCACTCACTGACTTATTAAATAATAATTTGAGATCATTCAGCAGCGTCTTTTCCTTGCATTCTTCTATATGACTAGAGCTACATCGAACAAAACATACAATGTCATCATCATCGTCATCATCATTCAAAATATATCAATCTACGACGTAACTCACATTACGGGGGAATCCTGTCTAAATCAGGAAATGACATATGACCTTCACCTTGCAGCATTTCTACCTTCAGAACGAAAAACCTAAAATGGCGGCGTCCACAAGAGGGGTTGGACGATTAATGTAAGTCGATGAAACGACATCACTTTTCTACTTTTAATCTGTCAACAGCGTACTGGTTTGCTGTCACGCATTTGTCCTAATGCTGATCTGAAAATTCAAGAATCTGTCTGACTGTTGCCGGGTAACAACAGATAAGATTCCAAGTGATGATACGACAGTAGGCCTAACACGCGTGTGGGGTTTTTCTTTTTCAAGTTCAATGACATAGATGTGTCACGTCACGTTTGCTGAGTCTATATCTGGGTCCTACCTCAGATTTTTAAACGTTTGTCACGAAAGCTCTCCTCGGGTTTTCCCCTGTTGGCATGGCTGATTTTCAATTTCAATGACCGATCGATCTATGCTTCTTGTGATTTCTTTTTAGTCAAAATAGGCTTAGTCAAAACTTAACACCGTTCACCCAATTTCAATCAGTTAAATATTTAAATTAAAAAAAGGATGTCTTGTGACTGTGTCTTTGAGAAATCTACATAGGATACGCAAATTACATTCAGTGTGATGATATTCAATACAAGGGTTACCGGTATATACTGTTTGGCCAGGGAAAAACAAGTTATAGTCTAAATATGATATGAATAATCATAACTAACTTCATACCCATATGATAATGGTAATATATCAATTACATTGTTTCATGAACATGAGTATTTTTCTCAAAGAATTGTCCGTACAAACTCTCATGACCATCTTCCCTTAACTGACTATACAATTAAAAGTCCAGTTTCCACCCTTGCTAAACTAGGCTGGAATTCCAGTATTTGGGCTGGACTAACAAGTGACTATGCATAGTCAAATTTAAATCGCGTAATGAACTAGACATCTGATTCATTAACAGCATGGATTTCAACATGCAGATTTTGGTTGACTGCAGGATTTGCAAAGCATGTGTACATGTACTGTCAACTGGGCGTTGTCAGATATTTTGCAAATCTTTACATGTTATTAATCAAGGTGCTCAAGTGATTTGATGCACCTCGCGGGGGTAATACCTGTTTTATTACAATATTGATCTTGATTATCGATCAGATCGTCTTGAATAGGCGCCACCATTTTGTTTGAACCAATTGCAAGTTACATGAGAGATGGAATCTGATTGGTCAGTAGGAGCGACAGTGAAGGGACATAAATTGTAATAGCCACTGGTGGCGCTATGATTGAACCTTGAAATTCCAGCCTCATTTGGCAAGGGTGAAAAGTGGACTTTATTGTCAGTTAAATGTTCTTGCCTTGGGTGATGCCTCATGACACAAGCAGGCAATGGTTCAAATACTGTATTTACACTATTAGTCGTTGGGCAACCCGAAAGTTGACCCAGAGCCTTGTGCCTATTCTGTTTAATGTTGGCACAGTGGCAACTCACTATCTTACCAAATCTCAAATTCTCCAGTCATTAAAAGTGTATACACATTTGCAGGAAACATTCATTATCAATCCCCAACATATCACAGTATTAGAGACCCTGCGTCTAATAGATAATAGAGGCCAGACTTCTAATTTCTGGTCAGAGCATATGATCCAGTGCAGTTAGAGGTGTAGTGGAGGTCAAGCATCTAATAGAGGAAATAATGAATTTAATTGAAAATGCTCCAGATTGACATAAAACATTCCCCATATGTGCTAAAATATGAATAGATATACGCATAAAATTTTAAAAAGTACAATGGTGTTTATTTGTTTTGTTTGTTTGTTTTTGAACGCCACACTCAGCAATATTCCAGCTATGTGATGGCAGTCTGTTAATAATCAAGTCTGGACCAGACAATCCAATGATTGACATCATGCGCATCGATCTACACAATTAGGATGCTGTATGTACAGAGCTTACTACACAAACGCTTTCCATTGGATGCATGTCATACGAAACTGGACTTTAGGTAAAAACGTGCTAGCGATATCATGACTTGTATTTGAAAAACTATTAAGACTGAGAATTGTTTTGCTATTGCTGTGTTTACATGCCAAAGATGTAAGATGGAATGTTGGTATTGTTTTCTGAAGGTCTTGCAAATAACTTCCAGCTATATATCAGTTAATTCTACAATAAAAATGATGATAATTAGGGAGCCAAATCGGCAGCCAAAATTAAGATAAGGGCGCCAATGTTAAAATTCAGTTGCTTATGCGACCATTCAGTCAATAATAAGAGGCTACAATATCCAATATTTGAATGATAACATTTTAGTAAAATACTCAATGACTTATCTAAAATTTATCTGGAGCTCTGGTAAATCCTGGCTTTCATGAGGAATAATCTGATTATTAAAATGAACACTTCATCACTGGTGGACTCTTGGCCGTGGTTACTGCTTAGTTAAGCTTGTCATTTTCCAGTGCGTCTTCTGTACAAACTCAGTGTATGTGGTGGTATCTCTGTAGCGGTTTCATCAGCAGCATCCTGTCATGTGCAGTGTTGGCAATTAAGTTTGGTCCTGGTCCTATGATATTTGAATGTCCCTAAGTCTTTAACTGTTAACATTGGTTTATATTATGCAGTGTTCAGAATTAACTATGAAAGTCAAGGGGTCCTTTTCCAATGTTAAAAGTTAAAGATTTGTGGAGTCCATTGATTTAAGTACTGTGGGAGCGTACCTTAAGGTCCTTTGCACCCCCACACCCCCTTTAATTTCCAATTCTGTTTGTGACAAAGATCTCTTGACTTTAATGCTTAAAGGGACAGGGCATCGACTGTTCTGAAGCTTCGTTTGTAAACAGTGGCTGATAACCCCCGAGTTTTCTCGACTCTGCTCAACTTATTCCGTTTCTGCGCCAGTGACCACAATGATGACAGGTTATCATGGTTATCACGGTTATCACATGACCAGACTTTTCTCAGGTTTGTTAACAAATGCACTTGGTCTGAAATAAGAACAGACATGTCTAAAGTAGACCTTTCAGTGCACCATGCATACTGTTTTGCATAAGTATGTAGATATACTACTACAACTGCGACAGTGAGGTGCATGACAATATGGCTTTACACATCAAAGTTACTGTACCGCTTGTTCTGTGATGACTAGACGTGGAGGATAAATATGTAAATGGAAATAGTTTTTAGGATATTTCCTCCGTAAAAGTTAAATCTAAATGTGTGGACTCATCCAAAATGAAAAACACATGAATGAACTGTGCAAGATGTGACGATGTGACAGAAGTTCTAGGCTGACGGCAAGGAACCCTGGGTAGGAGAGCGATTAACTTTATATGGCCGAGGAATATCTATATTGTAATCTAGGCTTTGATAAACACTGGCTTCTAATCTAATCAAGCTGGCAATTAGTATTTTGTTACGCATCTCTAAGAAAAACACACAAGCTTTCTCACCAATTTGCCTCTATTAAATAACGTTACTGAAGACAAGTTTACTCTGCGCAGCGCTTATGTTGTCGGCTTCACTGTGCAGAACTCTCTTGTTTTGGTTTGAGAACAGTATCGAGCATGTGACGTCACGCTCGGAAACTATTTCATGCATGAATTAAAAACACGCAGAACCGTCAACGTACTGTCCCTTGAAATCCGAACAGTGGCTACATATACTGTAAGTTATGAAATCAATGCGAAAAATGCGAGTCTCCCATGCTCACATTAATAATAATCATTGTAACTGGACATACATGTATTGGAGGTTATTATCATGTAATTGAGCACAACATCTGATTTAGTGCTTTTCACCTAGTCAGTTTGTTTTCACAAATTGATCAAGCAGTTATGGCAGTCGTCACCCAAATATGACCTTGTCAAATAATCCAATATTACAAGCAAAACACTGCTCACCCATGTAGTGAAAAGTCCAGTAGGTCTCGATTTAAGGAACTTGATTTAACTGCACCATGTGCATGTTGAGATGAAACCTCAGTTGCACCAGACTAAACCAGGTTGGTCCCATAAATTTATCAAAGTTGCAACACAGATGCGTGAACACGATGACTGTGTCATGAAACCAGGATTTGTGACATAGTATGGTAAATAAAACGTACAGAGTTTGTTCAATGATTGATGTTGTATGGACAAATAAGGGTTTAGTCAGATACAAATTTGCATTTGAGGACAAATACTTATGCATGTACATGTAGACATAAATATTAGGTTGTATTTTTTAATAATAGGTTGTACTGGTGCATGATTTTTGTAGTTTATTTGAGCCTGTCCAGTACAGCAATAATGGTCGTGGTGAGCACACATAACACTGCTCATTGAAATAAAGTTGTTTTTAATGATCATCCTGCCCCCAAAATTGCCCCTGATGTTTTAATTTTAGTTTTAAGCCCTGTTAATGGACATGGTCTTTTTCAAATTTTATAAATTTCACTAGATTCCTACTCTTTTGTTTATCACCCGCTAACCGCACAGGCCGCGGACACCTAAACGAGCCTCCTGGTGGTAATGAAGGCCGGGAATCAACCAAGTGCTAACGGTGAAGTGACACCAATACACAGGATATTAAAAGTCCTTTGCCCACGCACGCGAAAAACCGGGTCCAGCAGTAGGAATTGAAAATCCACATCCCAAAGAGGCCACCCTGACTGTTTATTTTGTTTGCACATGCCATGCATCATGATATAGGTCATCATAGTGTGTCAGATTTGCAGGGGGCCCAAGCCAAGGGCACATGGCCTCGCCCTTCTCTTCATACCCGAGTCTCGGGGCGTGGCGAGAAGTCAAGTGATTGATTAGAATCAAGTCTGCTTCTATAGATTTGTAACCATCTAAAGAAGTAAAATAGGAGAACTTAATAAGATGTTCTCTCCCAAACCCACTCAATTTTGAAAAACAATGATTGGCAGTCTGACCCACCGGGAGAAAAGGAACCTTATGGGTCCCAGGATAAAATTGTGGCTTATTGTGCTATGACACCTTGAAGAAGTTTGACGTCCACTTACTTCAGTGAAGATTGCCATGTGTGATGTCATGTATCTCTGTAATAAATGACCCGTGAAGATCCGGGGTATAATAGGTCTTCAGCAACGCTTGCTTGCCGTAAAAGGTGACTATGTTTGTCGTAAGAGGCGACTAACGGGGTCGGGTGGTCAGGCTTGCTGACTTGGTTGATGCATGTCATCGATCCTAATTGCATGGTTCGATGCTCTTGATATCAATCACTGGATTGTCTGTTCCAGACTCGATTATTTACAGACCGCCGTCATATAGCTGAAATATTGCTGAGTGCGGTGTTAAACAACCAACCAACCAACCAACCAAACCACCAGTAATAAATTTGAATTGAAGCTTGTGAATTATATTCTTGTGTTCTGAAGATGCTGTAGTTTTGATATATAATGAGAAGTCAAAATGTGATTTTTCACCCATGAGGTCCCTTATCTCATGGCCGGTCACAATTAATTTTGTAACTGGCTTTTACCGTTGTGATTTAACTTATTGTTACAGACCGTTATGGAAGAGACGCATCCCTCAGACACCAATTCACTGGAAAGGAAATCCTCAGCATAGAGTCTTCCTACCTCAGTTCTGGATGAAGCTCATCAAACCAGAACGGAAGACGCCTCCACACCTGGCACAGTTTGAAGTGCATCCACAGTAAGTCATTTGGATTTTCACTGGACATCTACAGATTAGGGCTAGGACAGGTAGTGAGTGAGTGAGTTGGGTTTAATGCCGCTTTTAACAGTATTCCAGTCATATCGCAGCGTGTCAGCTTAATGTGGGAGGAAAACCCGAAGTGATGCAGGTCTCAGACGTTTACCACTTCGGTGAAACCCACGAGCACGGGTATGGTGCTGACAAACCTAGAAACATAATCAGGGCGAACCAGGATTAGAACCCACAATCACAGGTTTCTGGCATGCCCAAGGGACGCAACTCTGCACGGCGAATCGCGGCGCCTTAGACGACTGGGACACCTGTGCCCCTGCTAGGACAGGTAACTCGGGTACCCATGTCAGGTGGGTACTGAGTAGGACCCGGGTACCCACAGGACTACCCAGACTCGTGGTTAGTCACCTGATTATATTGTTTAATGGCAAAAATTATCTAGAACTCTATGGTTACACTATGAGTGATAAATGTTCACATTTCTTTCTGACTTTGCACACATTTCTTCTGACTTTATATGTTTGCATAGAGATAAATTATCAGTCAACTTCAGTGTATGCATGACCAGATCGGTTTATACGTGTATCTAAATTTATTTTGACAGAAGTACCATCAATCTATTCCCAATCGGACATGTTATACCTATCTCTTGAGACCTACAGCAGGTACCCGGGTAGGGTCGGGTAATAGGGAGGTGGGTACCCGGATAGGAAATTTGGACTCGTCCCAGCCCTTCTATAGATCATCTTATTACCAAGACACGATTAACATGTGTCCAGAAATATTAGCATGCATTTGTTTATTCCTTATCAGTGTTCGCAGTTCAGGGGGTCCGAGGTCATTGGGTCGGACTACTCTGGACCTCTGTCAACACCAGACCAAATTTCCATCCTGAATTGACAGGTTATACATGATCTGTTCCTGCTAGAATTGTATTGTTGTAATTTGTACCAGCTCGTGTAACAATACTCTGTTCTTGAAAAAATGTGTCCAAAAGAGTAGATCATAAGTTTTATCTAAGGTTAAATATGCTTCCTTCATAGAATGTGTAAACATTGTTGATAATGAGAACTGATTTTTGTATAATTTGAAACAAATATCTTCACGCTTGCAACAGCAAGGGAAACAACTATTGCAATGATTTCACTAATCAAGACCACTGTCTAAACCAGACTAAACATTCGTTCTCATACAAGTTGTGTTCAGACAGATTTCACTCTATACAGTTAAATCTCGTGTCAAACTTGAACGTGTCGAACTCACCTTTCTGCCCATGTGAATTCCTTCAATATTTATCATCATATGTTCAATATAAAACAATATTACATGATACATGTAGATTATTTGTTGCAACATAGTTGCAGATGTTGAGACAAAGTATGAATCCAACGACTAGATTACATGTAATTATTTGTCATAACACTATGTTTGGTTTCGGAAATCAATTTGTTGGTTGTCTCGAACTTTTTACCAGGTCCCTTCGAGTTTGACAGAACGTGGTTCAACTGTATCTATGTTTCCCCATGCAGTGAGTGAATGCAGCGATAGAAACTTACAGTTTTAGTAAACTGGTCCTTTATAGTTTACTTTATAGTTTACTTATATAGCAAGACCCCTAAAAAGGGCAAATTTCTACTGGTCCTTAGGATACCTTAACTATTGGGCAGTTTGGCAAGGACTACAGGACTAGTGCCAGTTTCTAATGCTGTGAATAAGTCACATGACTGACCAATGACCAGTCGTAATGACCAGTCGTAATGACCAGTCGTAATGACCCCAGTGCTGATATTTACCTAAGCCTGTTATGAATGCTAAGTCCCTCAAGCTGAAGCTTATGAGCCTAGAGAGAGTGTTACATGCTTGAAGAATTGTTCAGTGGAGCTTAAGGGCCAGCAACAACACTGGAAATGGGCCCACAAGTATTTGGTTATTTCATTACCTACAGCTTAACCTTGTTTAGTCAACATATCCGTCAATACTTCTGTACATCTATAGAGGAGGGAGGGTTGGTCATGTGGTTGGCGTTTGGAAGGCTGTGGAACTACTCCTGTTACATATCTTGAAATGGGAATTTGGTGTGAGAAATTGTTTAACTGAAACTGACAGCACTGAAGAAAACATTATTTTATTGGTTTGAATGAGTGAGTGAGTGAGTGAGTATGGTTTTACACCACTTTTAGCAATATTCCAGCAATATCACGGCGGGGGACACCAGAAATGGGCTTCACACATTGTACCCATGTCGGGAATCGAACCTGGGTCTTCGGCGTGACGAGCGAACGCTTTAACCACTAGGCTACCTGACCGCCCTTATTGGTTTGAGATGGATTTCATGACTAAATGTGTTTCACAAATATTTACTCAAACTGTTTGCTAAGAAATATGTTTATTTTTTTAAAAAGATTGAAATACACATGGACCACAGATTATAGAGACGAGTATTAATCTTTAGCAGAGAGCTCGCATGTAGTAACAGTAACAGAAGAGTAACATTTAACAGTGTAAAAGTTAATTGATTCCAATTAATTACAAATTTTGGGGGTTTGCTTGTGCCATGGTAATTGTATGAAGTTGAAGAATAGTATTCAAAATCTTTAATCTTCACAGCCCAAATTAGCTTTGGCTAGATTTTATGCTAAACATAAGAACTTTAAAAATTGAAAGTTTTCATGCCCAAGCCATTTTAACTTGATGCTGGCTGGAGGTTGGAATGAGAATGATAAGTTTGTGTCCTGAATGGTATCGGTTGCCATTGTCTGATTTTATTTATCAAAAAGCTGGGCTATAATCTATTGTTTGAATACAACTCTCTGGAGTAGTCTGTCCCATGATGGGCGAGTGGCATGTCTTCATGTTGATTGTTTGACTGAGTATCTTCATTCAGACAAGTGCTGCAGCATCTTTTTGACACATAATTTACCATGTTTATTGTTTACAATCAGCAAACTGTTCAGAAATCATGTAGAGAGTCGTCAGATGTGTTCACATGTGAATGGGAAGTAGACTTTTTCATTTCAACATTTGCATGTTTTGGACTTACGACAGCATGTAATGTGTGGCTGAGGCAAAACAGTGTAAAGTGGTATTTGACTCAAGCTGGTTTTGGTTTGTTGTTTAACGCCGCACTCAGCATTCCAGCTATATTCCAGCTATATGACGGCGGTCTGTAAATAATCGAGTCTGGACCAGACAATCCAGTGATTGACAAAATGAGCTTTGCTTCACACAATTCGGACCGATGACATACATCAACCAAGTCAGCGAGCCTGACCACCTGATCCCGTTAGCCGCCTTTTACGACAAGCATAGTCGCCTTTTACGGCAAGCATGGGTTGCTGAAGACCTATTTTACCCCGGATCTTCACGGGCCTTACTCAAGCTGATTTCTGAGGTCATATAGTTATGGATTGTACAAACATATCGTAAAAATTCATCTTGGATCACAGATTTGTTCATAGTAGAAAAAATAATTCTCCAAAAATTTGAAATTTAAGCCTATTCCATTTATATTTGACATACAGTAATTGAGTAAACTACGTTTATAACGAACACGCTTATAACGAACTGACCAATATAACAAACTTATTTTTTAGTCCCAGCCATTTGTTGTATATATGCTGTTTATATGCTTATAACGAACTACGGTTATTACAAACTAAAATTAGTGGTCCCCTTGACTTCGTTATAACCGTAGTTTGCTCTACTTGTGTATATGTGTTATACAGATTAAAAAAAAGGTTAATTCAGTAATTGTCAGTCATGAACATGACCATATTTTCGTTACAATATTAGTTTTGTAGTAACTTTTAGTTTGACAATAGGATGCCGACATTCTTCATCTTTTGACAATGCATATAACCGCGTTAGAAATTGGCACTAGTCCTGTAGTCCTTACCTAACTGCCCAATAGTAAAGGTATCCTAAGGACTAGTAGATTGGCCCATTTTAGGGGTTTTGCTATACAATGCTATATGTTATCTTTATATGGACTAGTGGCCAAAAACTGTTAGTTTCTAACCCTGATATAACCATGGTAACTGAGATATTGGAAGAGAACAGTACCTTTGTGGTGTCAGCATCCATGACTGTTGTATTGTGTTATGCTCCTGATCATGATCTTCTACCCTTGTTTTCCATGTGTAAGGTGTATTAATACACCTGTTGTACTGCTCAACCCAACTTGTGCAGTTGTTCCACCCAGTTCTATAAATTGTGTTGGGTGCTATTTATAGATCCAGTTTTCCCAAACCTATCCCCAAAACACATGATGCTTCCTGTATCAAAATAACCAGGGGCACAGCCACCAGGAATATACAACGTACTCATCATGCCAAGAAGTATAACCTTATCTTTATACTGATGTGTTATATATAGAATTACCTACTGGTTAGTTATTAGTCTCATCTCTACCCACTGATCCACCTATATACACACCCATTCAACTACCTCTGAGTGCGGTGTTAAACAAACAAACAAAGAAACCAATCCATCCACCCTACCATTCAGGGCATGTGTGGCCCAGTCACCACAATTTTCTGTGCAGAGTTGCGTTCCTTGGACACCCCAGGAACCTGTGATTGTGGGTTCGAACCCCTGTTGAAGTCCTGGGTCCATTTACCAGCAGTAGAAACTAAAAGTTTTAGTCCACTAGTCTGTATAATGATAACATATGGCAAAACCCCTAAAAAACGCAAATTTCTACTAGTCCTTAGGATATCTGATCTATTGGGCAGTTTGGCAAAGGGGTTAGTGCCAATTTCTAACGCTGTTAACCCGTTCATTCTTCTACCCATCCATTCAACCAGATACCACACGTCCATCTACCCACACATCCATCGATCTACCCACACATATAACCGATCATCCATCTATCCACCCATCCATCCACACATCCATCTACCCACACATCCATCAATCTACCCACCATTTCAACACGCTTCCATCCACCCACCCATTCAACACCCATCTACCCACAAATTCAACCA